AGAGTCTGGGTGCCATGACCAAGGACGTCCTCTCCCAAGTTGCCACCTGCCCAGTCTCAGAAGGTGAGGGCACCCAAAGCAGGGCCTCCAGAGATGATCCCTGGGGAGGTCTGATAGGTTCATATGGGAGCTGCTGTCCCTGAGAGCTCTTGCAACCACTGTTCCCTCTAAGCTGAGTGAGTGTGAGCTAGCTCACGGTTTTTTAGCCTCCGGCTCCCCCTTTTTTGTCTCAGCTCAGGAAGGAGGGCTCCAGAGCAAACTGATTTCTGCGGCAGCCGAATCGCTGGCTCACAACTTTGATGCCAGGAGCTCACAAAGGAGAATTTCTGCTCACAAGACTCCATGGCTTAGAGGGAGTCTTGGTCCAGGGCAAACCACCTCTGTTCATCTCTGGCCGTGACAACCCCACATAACTGGGCTCCCAGCCAGGGTTCCCTCTAAGCTGAGTCAGTGTGAGCTGGCTCACAGGTTTTAAGCCTCCGACTCACACGTTTTTGTCTTGGCTCAGGAAGGAGGGCTCCAGAGCGAACAAATTGATGCAGCAGCCAAATCGCTCGCTCACAACTTCAATGCCAGGAGCTCAAAAAGTAGTAATTTTTGCTTCACAGCTTAAAGGGAGCATTGGTTATACTCATTCTTCCCTGGGTGAAATCCATTTTTTTCTTGACACCATTAAAATGTTGCCCTTTCATCAAAATGGCCTGTAAGAACACAGTGGTCCACCAGAGTCCATCTGGGAACCTTTTGATGCTGCTGGATCTTAGCGATGGCAAAAGTGTTCCTGGAGCAGCCGTGGCTCCGCGACCTGCTTGGCCTTGAGATTCTCCGTTGGCAGCTTGCTCCTCTCTCAAAGGCAGGGTAGGATTTCTCACTTCAGAAATAGCACTTCCGCTTTCTGTGAATGAAGTATCTCCAGGAAGCTGCGTCCTCTTTCCTTTCTCTCAAAGAGGGCCTGGGGAGTTCAGGCTTTGAAAGAGAGAGTCACGTGCCTGTGCTTTCAGAGCTCTCCGAAGTGGAGGTCGGGGATAGATGCTATTTCTGGTCTGGTTCTCATCTTGGCCGTGGGGGTGGGGTGGAGTTAACGGTAGTACTGAGAGGAGGAGTGATACAGGCACAAGCAGGCCCAGGAGGAGAACGCGAGCCTGGAAGCTGGCGAGAAGCCGTGGCTGCAGCTGGCGTGGCACCTTTTCCTCTCCTGGATCTGTTGCTTCCCTCCACAACCATGCACAGCCTCAGCGATCTGCCCTGTCCCTTGTACTTGCTATGAGATGGCGGTTCTCCCAGATTAGCGTCCGCACACTTAACCACTACACCAAACTAGTAGGCACACTGATGAATAAAAGCTACTGAGGAAGAATCAGCATGGGTTCTGTAACGGAAGATCTTGTCTCACTAACCTGTTAGTGTTCTTTGAAGGGGTGAACAAGCTTGTGGACAAGGGTGACCCAGCAGATGTTGCTTACCTAGACTTCCGGAAAGCTGTTGATAAAGTTCCTCATCAAAGGCTCCTAAGGAAGCTCAGCAGTCATGGGATGAGAGGACCAGTCCTCTTGTGGATTAAAAACTGGCTAGTTAACTGGAAACAGAGAGTGAGTCTAAATGGGTGGTTTTCACAGTGGAAGGTGGTAAGCAGCGGGGTACCGCAGGGCTCGGTACTCGGTCTGGTGCCATTTAAGTTGTTCATTAATGATCTGGAGTTGGAGTAAGCCATGAAGTGGCTAAGTTTGCAAGTGACACTTAAGTTGTTCAGGGTTTTGAGAGTTCTGGGAGGTGCACCAGAGGGATCTGTTGAGGCTGGGTGAATGGGTGTCACGGTGGCAAATGAGGTTCAGCAAGGGCAAGTGCAAAGCAATGCACATTGGAGCCAAAAATCCTAATTATAAATACATGTCGATGGGGTCAGAACTGTGGTAACTGATCAGGAGAGAGATCTGGGAGTCATGGTAGATGTTGACTCCGTGTGCGATGGCAATAAAAAAGGTGGGTTTTTTTTAGCGTCGGCGGTGCGCGCATAGGTGGAGCTCCGCTACCGTGTTTAGAAAACCAACATTTTAACAGTCACTTGTTTTAGAGTTTAGATGAGTTCGGGATCTCATGGAGACCATTTTCGTGTCAAATGTTTAAAGGGAAGTCTTTTGTTGGAGGGGTTGGATTGATTCGCCCAGGTGGTTCTGCGCATGCGCCATGGTAGTCCCCCCCATTCTACGGATGAGCGCCTATGCGCATGTGCAAACTGACACACAGGGAGCGACGTGACTGCGTGGTGAGGCAGAATAAGGGAGATAAGTATGATTGCGATTATCCAGATCAAACATAATCCGGTTAGAACCGGAGCAGTTTAACCTGCTCTCAGCATGCCGTCTGACCACACCCTGCATCGAGCACTTACAGAATTTTACTACATATAGAAGCAGCAGCCAGTAAAAACTTTTGCTGCAAGTTCAATTATGTTTTCCTCTGTGCTATTTAAAAGAAATAATAGTTTATCCAGCCCTCGAAAGTCTGAAACACTACCCAAGATAGGGGATAAAATACGTTTCCTGATAACCAGAATATTAACAAGATTCAAACAGCACGTGGTACACTGTTTCAGTAGTTTCACATGTACAGGGGCAAAGTCTATTGGCAAAGGGGGATACCCTGGAATCTTCCAAATAAAATTGCCGAGGGTAAAACTTTAAGCCTGGCCAGTGTAAAAATTCTGCACGATTTTGGAGATAGCAGTTGAAAAAAAATAACTGGGCAAGCGTCCTACAATGGGAAATATCCCATGGTTCAGAGGAGAACAGGTCTTATTGGCTGCATTGTAGAAGTCCCACCCCTCTGCCTCCGGTAATCTGCTCCCTATTTTGTGAAACAGCCCCGTTTCTGAGAGCATCAGCATAGGTTCAAGAGAGAGATTCAAGGAACTCAGGTTTTTTTCTATAGTGGCAAGCCAGAGATACGCTCTGTGTCCTTTTTGTCTGGCCTCATATCTTCCTGTTATCAACCCAGCCCTTGTTGGACTCCTGTGGCCCAGTGCAGCTCATCCAGATGTGTGGGAAAGGGTTCTTTGCGTCCACCTCGGAAGCTGTTATCCTTCCAGTTCCACTCTGTTTTCTGTGTGCCCTCTTACAGGTGAACATTCCCATAAAAGCAGTGTTTCCCAATCCATGGGTCGTGGGCCAGCCCTTCCTAATGCAGTCCCGGTCCTTTCTGTTGCTTTCTTTCATACTCTGGAAAGTAAAATCTGACCGTGGAAGCAGTGCTTTCCATGTCATCCATTAGTTGGTGTCACGAGCCTCCTGGGGGGCTCCCGCCGGTCGCCGTGGCGTTCAGGAGTCACCATCCAGTCTCGCCAAGCTCTCTGGGACGGAGCGAGGGTTGGCGCGGGAGGTAACCGGGAAAGTCTGCAAGGCTTCGGAGAAAAAGATGGGCCTCAGACCAGGGGCGTACTGCAAAGGGGTTACTTCACCCCTCTTGGCCCCTCAGAGATTCTGCTGTCTCGTTCCCGTCTCTCTCTCTCTGCTTCACTCTCACAGCTCCTCTCTGGTTCCTCCCCGGCCCCTTTCCTTCCCAGCCTTTATTGCTTCCCCAGTTCCCCGCACCACCCCTTGCTTGTAGCCCCGCCCTCCTTCAAACAGACCGAGGCCGATCCACCCCGCCCCTGGGTAGTTGGCTGCCAGCGCTTGGCCCTCCGGTCGACTCCTGCTGCTCCACTGCCTCTTGCGTTGGTCCCCCGTAGGGCCCCCTTGTCCTCGCTCGCCAGCCACCTCTCTCTCCTCTGGTGTCTGGCTCAGCCAGCCGGACTTGAGCCTTCCGGGCCGGCCTCCTGCCGTGGTGTCCCCTGTCCCTCCCCTGGACGTCATCGTTCTGCGTCTCGGGGTCCCATCGCTGTCGGCACGCGTCGGTTGTCCTCCTCGTCTCCGTTGGCTCCGGGTGTGTTCCTTGGAGCCAGTCCCTGTTGCTGTGGGCGTTGGAGGGTGCTGGGGGATTCTGTGCGCTTCCGCTGGGGGTCCCAGGACAGTTGCATCAAGCAGAAGGTGTCCTGATGGTTACTCGAGTGAGTTTCTTAGGATTTCAGGGAGGAATGGAGAAGGAGGGGACGGTCAAAGGCTGGAAGGTAACCTCCATTTGCAAAGGCCGTGTATGTCGTCAGAATGCCACTTGCTTTGGGGTTCATAGTGGGGGCAGCTCTGCCCTTCGTGCAATGCTGGTTGGTTTCTCAAAAAACACCTGGCGGAATTCTGAACTAGACGGATGCCAAGGTCATAATTTCCCTAAGGCGCCAAGAAACCTTGGGCCAGACCTGAACGGGCCAACACACCAGTTTAAATATTGATGTGTGTCACCATAGCAAAAAGGTTGGGAGCCCCACTCTGTTAAGGAAACGGATCTCTGATGCATTCTCTCACTGTCTTTTTGTGGGGCTACTTGAAATGAGTGGTCTTCCGGTGATCGATAGGGCCGGGATGAGTGTTCCCTCTAAGCTGAGTGAGTGTGAGCCGGCTCACAGTTTTTCTGCCTCCGGCTCACACATTTTTTGTCTCGGTGCAGGAAGGAGAGGGCTCCATAAAACTGATTTATGCAGCAGCCAAATCACCTGCTCACAGCTTTAATGCCAGGAGCTCACAAAGTAGAATTTTTGCTCACAAGACTCCACCGCTTAGAGGGAGCGTTGGCTGTGACAGGCTTCCCATTTCTAATACTGACTGGTGGCGACGGAGAGGGCCTTGTCTGAAATCCGGGGATCTTACCAGTGTTCCCTCTAAGCTGAGTTAGTGTGAGGTAGCTCACAGTTTTTCTGCCTCCGGCTCACACATTTTTTGTCTCAGCTCAGGAAGGAGGGCTCCAGAGCAAACCTCTTTATGCAGCAGCCAAATCGCTCGCTCACAGCTTTAATGCCAGGAGCTCACAGAGTAGAATTTTTGCTCACAAGACTCCACAGCTTAGAGGGAGCGTTGGCTGGGAACATGTGAATTGTTGGTGTGCTTTTACAGCAGTTTATTTTTCCGTTGCAGAAGAGTGGCTGAGACCGGTGATGAAAAAAGACAAGCAGGTTCTTGTGCACTGGGGCTGTCACCCAGACAGGTAAGGAAATGGACTGGGACGCCGGTGTTGATTTCTTAAATAGGGTGTCCTTTTTGCTTGTCAGACCAAAATGAGAAATTCTTTCTCAGTAGTTTTGAGTGTAAGATTTCTGGCAGTACAGTTGCTTGTCTCGAGTTATTCTTTGCTGTGAGACTTGCTGTGCTGCAAGGCAACTTCTCAAGTAAATGCAACCCAGTACAGAAAATGGGTGGCGTGGCCTGTACTGGAGACAACGAAATTTCCTGAGCTTGGAGGAGAGATGGGATGAAGCCACCGGGCCGTGCTGGAGTGCTTGAGAGGCCTGCACAGCAAATGGAGCTCCCCTTGGTCAAAGTCCGTCGGGAGCCAGGACCTCCTTTAAGCACACTGTTGTGTTCTGTTTCTTCAGGTCAGCCAGTGGGTTGTCTTGAGGAGGGTCGCTTTTCCGTTGAGTTGGGGGCTTTTCTGAAGTGGCGGAGGGGGGTCTTTTAGAATCACAGAATCATAAGAGTTGGAAGGGGGCCATACAGACCATCTAGTCGAACCCCCTGCCCAATGCAGGACCAGCCTAGAGCATCTCTGACAAATATTTGTCTTATTTTGTCTTATCCAAGCAGTACATTCAAGCATGTCCTGGTAACACCTAGGTGTGATTACTGCCTTGCTCTCTACGTGGGGCTGCCCTTGCAGACTGTCCGGAAGCTGCAGTTGGTAACAGAATGCTGCAGCCAGAATGTTGACCGGAGTGAATCGTAGGGACTGTATCACTCCATTGTTGAGCCTGTCTGCACTGGCTTCCAGTTTGTTTCTGGGCTCCATTCCAGGTGCCGGCATTTGCCCTTTAAAGCCATGTCCGGCCTGGGACCGGGATTCCTTAAGGACTGCCTTGTCCCATATGAACTCGCCTGTTCACCCCGATCATCTCCGGAGGCCCTCTGGGAGATTTGTTTGTCTCTTTCTACTGGTGTCTTTTGCCAGCGGGTAAATTTTAAATATTGCTTTCGGCTGTTTGAATGTTTTAATATTTTTTATGTGTGCTGCCTTGAGGGACCCTGATCGGGTGGAAAGGCATCATAAGAATGTTTTACATTATTTATTTATTTATTATTTTTTATTTATATCCCATCCTTGCCTGCACAAGCAGGCTCAAGGCGGCGTACAACAAGTTAAAAATACAGTAAAAAAGCGCAAAAATGCCATACTATAAAAATTTCACCTAAAAACAATATATTTATATAAAGTGCAGGTCAATGTCAATAGCGTTTGCTGTATAGTGATCCGGTTGTAACAGATACAAAACACTTTCTGGCACACTTCAGTGCCTGCAGCCTGCTTTTTCTGCAGCTGATGTGTTTTTGGTAGTTTTCTGGTTATGTGCAGTAAGGACTATAAATTTATTCCTCTGCTGTCAGTGTACGATGCTGGGTGTTTTTTTTCCTGGTCAGGGTGTTCAGAGTGGGATGCAAAGTCATTTGATGTTCTGTAGTGCCAGACATGTCTCAGGCGAACGACCCTGAGGGGTCCATTCGCATCTTGGCTTTTTGTTTTCCTTTCAGCTATGATACCTGGATCCATGCCGGCGATATAGATGCGGAAGCTGAAGAGCCTCCAATCCCAGAGAAGCCATGGAAGGTGAGACCAATGTGTTACTCTCCGAAGAACTCTGAAGCGACAGCCATTTCAGCACGTGCCGTCTCTTTGTGTAATTGACTCTGGAATAGCAGGGTGTTGCTTCGAACATTCTGTATGTGTGTGTGTGGAAAGCTTAAATCAGAGCTTAAAAATTCAAATCCAGAGTTTAAAAATTGGACCACCCAGTTTTGTTGGAAAGGCCTTTGAGAGTTATTTTTTAAAACTATAACATTGGTAGAAACTAAGCAAAGGCGCAGTCTGGTCAGGCTTCCCTGTCAGCAGCAAGGCGACACAGGCCTGCAGCTGTCGTAGCTAAAAACGATGATCACCGTATAAGGCAGGGGTGGCCAAACTTGCTTAACGTAAGAGCCACATAGAATAAACGTCAGAGGTTTGAGAGCCGCAAGACACGAACAAATATTACATGTTTTTATTCGGAAAATAGGCAAATTCGCTTTTTATTAACATTAAATGAGACTGCCAAAAATGGTGGAGTGGTTAAGTGCGTGGACTCTAATCTGGGAGAACCGGGTTCGATTCCCCACTCCTCCACTTGCACCTGGCTGGATGACCTTGGGCAAGCCGTAGTTCTGATAAGAGCTGTCCTTGAAAAAGAGCCGTTTCTGTCAGAGCTCTCTCAGCCCCACCTACCTCACAGGGTGTCTGTTATGGGGAGGGGGAGGGAAAGGAGTTTGTCAGCCACTCTGA